TCTTCCGCTTTCTTTAAAGATAATAGAAGTTCAGTAACATTGAAAGTACTTTCATGAGTTACTAGGGTATTTTTTTGGACTTGTTTATTTGAGAATAATACCATTGTACTTTTTTTTTGACTTAATCATTTTAACGGAGTTGATGCTTTACACTGTATTAATAAATAATTTGATCAAATTTTCTAAGGGTATTTTACTTAAAACAATAATTAAATTGGTATGATTTTTTTCCAAATCAAATTTGAACAAAGATATCACTGCAAATCTTACATTTAGAAGTGTTTTATTTTAATGCACTTAAGGTGTTTTAAAATGATGTCATCCATTTGATTAACATTGTAGTCACTTTTAAACACTTTAAAGTGCATTAAAAATAACTACAATGCTAATTCAATAGATGATGTTACATCAAAATACTTTAAGTGCATTGAAATAAAACACTTCTAAATGTAAGACTTGCCGTAATGTAATAGAGAAGTGGATTCGGCTTTAAAAAAAACATTATTTGTTGTTTCAAGCACATCATTTTTTTGTTTAAGACCAAGAAAAATTTACTGGGATATGTATTTAAAAATTTCCTGCTTCCTTAAATTTAGTAAGTAAATAGTTACTAAGAGATAGTAATTATTAATTAAGACCGTCAATACAAATTTGTACTGACTTTGTTGAAATTGTATTTGTTTAATATCAAAAATTATTCTAATGAAAGTATGACGAGTGGTCTAAGGATATTGGTACTTCGGAAAAAACCCAAGTAAAGGATAATAAAAATATCAATATATAAAATATAATAAATAAATTTTAGCCTTGGTAGATATCTGTGGGCCACACTTCATTTTTTTAGTTATATAGTTAGTTAGGATAAGTACTTTAGGATAATTGTTAATCAGTCTTTCGTAGATTCTCCTAGAGAGAACATCATAAGGAAACTCTTCGATAATTACCTTCCTATAGTTCTGATTAAAATAAAGATTTTTTAGTAATTGAAATATTAATTCTAAAATATTACTCAGCAACCCATTTCCCAACAGCCTTTATTAAAAATTAGCTTAGATTTGTAATATTATTGCGTCCCAGTTTCACTTTTTTTTAATGGGCCAGATTTTATTTCTTCCAACGGATAATATACACGGTGAGAATTTACTCACTAAATGTAAGTGAGTAAAAATATTTTTGTTCAACAGTGAATTTTGAGTTATTCTAAGTAATTATTTTACTACACTAATGGAAGATATTTGTAATAATAAAGGAGGCTTCTTAACTGTTAAAAAATCTTTTTAACAGTTAATATATCTCCTTAATTATTAAGCTATATAGTGTAACAAATATAATTCATATTTTATTAGGGATTATATGGTTTTTTTAATATAAAATGACATGACATTCTAATGGGATTAGAATTTAGTTTTATTTCGTGCATATTTCTATTAATAAAATATATGCATAACGCAAAAAGTGATGTTATAAAGGATGAATTAATAAAAATGACAGTTCTGGTTGATATAAGGTCAGGTGGCGTTACAAATGCCGGTTCATTAATTGTTAAAAAATATTTCTTCAAGATAAAAGAAAATTTATTTATTATGAAACCACCAATGTGTTCATAACTAAGGCTTTATTATTGTTATAAAATATTTATTAATAATTAAAAAACATTGATTTTAACAATTGAAGAATCATTTTTTAACATTTATAAATCTCTTCTATCAGTGTAAGACACCTTTTAAGTATCAAGTTTACTTACGACAACTCAAAATTCACTATTGAACAGAAATATTTTCATTTCTAAATTTCGAAACGTGGACTTGTCACTTTTTACACTTAGATTGAGTGAAAAAATTCTTTTTGTATACGTTGACGCATCAAATTTTAAATATGGCCCTTATCAAATTTTTTTTCCTAAATTCAGTCACATTTTAAAATCTGAAAAATAAAGTAGGCTCATATTAAATGTTATTTCACTTAAGTACATTACTAAACTTCAATAAAAATCGCTAGTAGTCGCTTTCTAATGTCGAGTAAAACTATATTTTTAAAAATATAAATAAAAATAACAAATCTTGTATAAATGAATTAAAATGATAGTCACTATGGTTGATAAATGTTATTTTTTATGATCTAATTATATATAAATTATTGTGTAGATTTTTGCATAATAAAATTAATTCCTTCTTCAGTAAATACATGTGATGCAAGTATTTCATAGATCTGGGTTAAGATCGGAGCATTAGCTCCTGAAAATGAAATTTTTTTTCTCGAAATAAGACTCAACAGCAGTGGGGGGAGTAATAGTAGTGAAAAGTACTGGTCGTTTTAACAGAGAATTTTTATTTCTTTTTTTTTCAAGAGAAATGCATCGTCGAAGGGTGCATTTCACTATAGTGAAATGCAAAAAAATATTAAAAGAAATAACTGAAACAAAAGTGAACAAAAAATTAATAACACAAGAAAAAAAGAATAAGGAAGGAGAGAAAAATGATAATAAAGCAAGCAGAATACTTATATGTGTCTGAATATACTTGAAAACTCTCTTATTCGTATGGTCCTATATAGTTGTCAACCATCATTAAAAGCACTACGTTGCCTGGACACTTGTCGATAACACGAAGTACGTGCGCTGCGGGCGAATTGTACGTCAAATATCTCACGCCCTGAGTGCCAAGTCCCCGATATAAATCGTTGATATAACGCAAGTAATATCATCAGTTTGCTTCGCGATAAAATCTAAAAGCTTAAACTACTCCAGGCATTTATATTTCAATTATGTGGAATAAATCATTCCAATTTTACACCAATGAAAAAGTTATAGCTTAAATGTTCTCCAAATTCAAATTCGTAGTGTAAATGAATCGCTCGATTGTTTAATCATGAAAGCAATATATTACACGAAAAAAAATTGTTCATTGTTGCAATATTAAAAAGTACAGTTAAAAGTATATACAGTTCAGTGAATTGAATTGAAAATTAATTTTTAATCTGAAATAGAAAAAACCAGTAAATATGTTTGGTATCATAGAAGTTCATATAAGTTACTTTTCATACCAGTTAATCATTTTTAATTGTTAATAAAAAATTTTATGACTGTTTTATTTTAAATTTCATTACAGTAGTCATAAAATCACTTGTATGCATTGATTGCTGCTAATGTGAAACTATGATTATGATGCTTAAAGAATTTTCAAAAAATAGTGCATTTATTATATTAATAATTTTTCGAGAATTATTAATTTGAAATTATTTTTTTTACACAGGTTCTTACGGAGATCTTAAAACTATATTAGCACTCAATAGGTAAATGTAGATTCAGCAAGATGTCACGTGATCTCCATAAGAACCTGTGTAAAAAAATTAATTTCAAATTAATAGTTCTCGAAAAGTAGCGGCACAATTGTGCTGAAATTTTTATAAAATTTTTTACTGTAAAAATTGAATCGAATATCAAAATTTCAAAAAATTCTACCATGAAAAAATTAACGCTCGTACATCCTCAAAGTGAGGAAAAATGAACTTTTTTTAATGAAGAATAAAGTACAACAAATTTTACTGCACTTAATTGTTTTGAATAAATTTTTTATTAAAGTTTATGCCAAATATTATCGTATAATATTGATTTTGATATTCATTAATTACTACTAAAATCGAATCAATGAATAAGGTTCTAATCTGAGGAAAGAGATTAAGTAAAATTTACGCAGCAAGCTCTCTATAAGCAGGCTATTAATTATCCCTACTCGTTTCATTTTCTTATTTAGAATAGATAAAGAATTTCTTGTCTTTATTCATAGCATTCTGTCACTGAGAGGCGTTTAATGGAAAATAAAAGGCCTCAGAATCAACTTTTAAAAATTTTTGGTCAATTTCATCACTGCACATCCAAGTGCTTAGACTGCAAATCGTAGTGTTTTAGTTCAATGCATTTAAAATGTTTCAAAATGACGTTATATATTCAATTAAACACTTCCAAGTGCATCAAAAGTGACTACAATATTAATCAAGTAGGCTACGTCACTTTAAAACACTTTGAGTGCATTGAAATAAAATACTTCCAAATTTAAAATTTGTAGTGTAAAAATTAAACACTTGTTTTAAACGTTTCTTGCTGTTTATCCAAATGCTATTGTATGTTTATAGTATTCAACGTTATAAACCCTTAAGTGTTTCATTATTTGCATAAATAATATTGCCCAGAAAGTTTATTGAGCCATGATTACTTTAAATTTCAGTACAATTTTTACTCAATCTTTTTGTCATGTAAAAATCAAAATGAAAGGTTTTTAAATAAAATGTGTTTGGTATGAAATTTAATATGATGGAAAATAGGTTTAGTCTTTGACTCTTATTCGATAGTGATCGTTGATGCGAAGATTGATACGACACATCATGTAAAAGCACACATCACCTCAATTACACATGAAGCAAGCAACGAACCACCGATGAGTTACCATCTAACACAGAGAAGCTATCGTAAAGTTTGAAATTGTTCCATCCCGGAAATTGCATTACGCGTTACGATCAGCTATTCCATAAATGAAATTCAGTCTCACGTTTGTACAGCGTCGACTCAATTTACAAAATATTTAGAAACGGTGGTGCCTGGTGCATGTATATTACTCAAAGTAAATAACTTACGCTCGAGAGTAGATGTTGTGTTCGTGACCATTGCTCAATTAGTCGTGTTACCGTCTGTCGAATCACGAAAGGATTTATTTTCTTTACGTCATCAAACTGGTAATAAATTTGTTCGATACTAATTGCATATTCGAGCTATTGAATTTAATAAAATCCCCTAAAATACGTCAATTTCGTGTCAATTAGTTTTATAAATATAGCGATACCATTAAGCTGATATTTGATTAAATATTATTAAGAAATAAACGAATTTGAAGTTTATGAGTTTTTTCTCATTAATATCATTGATTCGGAAAATAATAAGGTATAATTTTCATTTTGATTAAAATAAATTCAATTATTGAACAAAATTTTGTTTATTTCTGTTGCAGAACTTGAAAAATCAGATCATGACGACGAACGTGTGGGTGGAGCAGGTGAGTTGTTTTTGTAAATATTCACATAGATGAAAAATATAGCAACTACACGGAGAAAAAATAACGTGTATACAACTTTATTTCTGGTAAATTTTATCAATATTTGTCGTAAATATAGGGACAACTACACAATGAAATAAAATTTACCTTACTCTTTTAGTAAATTCAACATTGTCAGTGTGTAACCTTACAGTAAGGTATTTTTAATATAAATTTCTAATATTTATGACCATCTATATAATAAATTTTAGATTATGATATCTAAGTACTATAAAAATTCGTAAAGTAAATGCACAGTACTAAAAGTATAAGCACAGCGAATGTCTCCTGTTCAAACCAGTTGAAGCTTACTGTTTTATGTAGTAAAACATTCGTGATTATATCGGGAGTAACTCAATCTAAATATAAAAAAAATATCAAATTGATAATGAATCAAACTGAACTCAATAATTTATTGTCATAACGTAAAACATTTTTATATTATAAAGGAGAAAGTAGGATGATGGTCCGATTAGAGATATCGTTGATTTGTTTATTTTGCAAGCATGCTACATCTTGCTTGCACCAACTAACTTTTAAATATATTGAAAAATAACTTGCGATGATTGGTGATAATTTAATTGAGTAAAGTGTGATTTAGTAAAAACGAATAGTTATCCATACCTTACTTATTCTTTATGAATCTGGAATATAACGAACGACTGTGTATCCGCACGACTCGTGCTGATGTCATCGTGTCCGAAGCATACGGTCTCATGGTGCACACGGAACTTTATATAAGGTGGTGTCACCGAAGATGGCCCGGCTTTTAGGATAGCCCACTATTACAAAATAGTTATGATTATTCGAGACATTTGGATTTCACTGTCTATGTGTTGTCTACGGAACTAGTAGCATAAACCCGCGAAATTTCAAATTTTTCGAATAATCAAAACTGTTTTTTAACAGTGGGCTATCCTAGGAGCCGGGCCATCTTCAGTGACACTACCCTTATAACAGGTTATGATAAGAGTAACTTAGTTTAGCCATAGAGAGGGGCCTAAGTAACCGATTAGCGATACAGTGGAAAGAGCTCCTGTATAGTTTTTGTGAACAAACAAAATTACATAACTTCATAGGATTGTTCGAAACTTTATTTAATCTGTCATTATTTGTTATAACAACTCAGAAAAAATTTGGTGTTGTACCCTAGAATTGATCATGATTGCGTTTTTGAGTATTTAAGTTACTAGGGATTTAAGTAAATTACTTAGATCCCGCTCTACAGGCATGATAAGTTACGTTTATCATGTCTGTGTTACATAAAGAATATTGAAGGTCTGATGAAAAGAGGTTTGAACCCAGATTTGGATGTGTGTTTGAATGGAAATATTGTTATATTTATATTGATGCATGATGTGTATTGTAAAGAAACGTTAAAAATAGGGCTACAAGTTCCAATGTACAAAATTGTAAAATATGTTCGTTCGATTATATTCGTGGGTTAATCTTATTAAATGGTATTATGATAGAAATGAATATGTTTGAAAATATTTTAAAAGAGACTCCAGTGTCAATCTCATGAATGAGTTTTATCGTATTAAAATAACACACTTAAATTTACAGCGTAATGACAACAGCTTGTGTATGAAGCACCAAAACTGTCAAATTTATGTTTGATTAATTTAAAAAAAAATGTTTCTGCATATCAGCATTACGAAAAATTTGATGCATGCAAATGGATGAAAGTCATGATTGGCATGACAAGTTAGTGTAGGGAAAGGTGGGAAATTTGTCATGCAAAAGGTATACAGATGATACAAGTGTCCTCGAGAGATCGATCATGTATGTCAATTCCATGCGGCGCAGACATCATTGGAAATGTTATAGCGAAGGTATAGAGTTCATAGAGACGTCCAAGAGGGTTGTAGAATCAGTATTGGAGTGAACAGATATCTGAAGAAAATCGAGACGCGATAAGATAAGCCCCTGGAGCATGTTCAAATATGTTTATTTGTTGGCTGAGAAGGATTTTAAAATGGTCATAGGGAAAACACGTACCGTATTTTGAATAGGGTGCTCGAAGAATGGAGAAAAATATGAATGATAGGGGCAGAAATGAAAGAACATAGTGTAATACAGGAAAGCTACGTCAGCAATTCAATCCTCAATGTGACACGCGTATTTTAAGATTTCTAGTGACATTTCGTGATCCACAATCACGAGAGGGAATGAAACTACCACCAATATGTTCGTTAAAATTCTATCTTCGAGTACTGAAAGAAGTAGGTTAGAATAACTTATATCAAATCATTTTTTAGATTTTTTCAGTTATATACATGCAGAAAAAAAATCAATGATAAAGGTTGATTGCTTTTATAAAAATAGAAACAGCTCGAAATATGATAACGAAACATAAGTAGAATTTATTTAGTTCAAACAGATCATCTATTTTATTTAATATTTATTTATTTATTCATAGTTGTTTGTTACGATCTAGTTGTAATTTATCACTGACTGTTGACCAGATGCTTTCGACCAGAAATTAAATATAAATTTGATCCACAATCACTCAGTCCAGTCAATGGGTTTCAAAAAATACAAAAATTAAACATGTTTACATTGAGCTTTTTTGTTTATAAACAATAGATTTTTTTTACTAAATATCGCGGAAATAACGCATTGGAGATTTAAGACATGTTGTGTACAATTTTTAGAGATTTATCCAAGGAATAAAAGAATATTTAATTGTTTATAAATAAAATACCACTATTTTTTAAACAATTACCTGTAATTTATCAACTAATAAATTTTTCAATGTTTTTTTTATTTAGAAGTTATATCTATTCCTATCATATAAAAAATTTCAAGCATTTTTGTTATAACAAATTTAATATTCATAAAATAAAAACTAATCGAAAGCAAGTGAATAGAATGATTTTAAGCAGTTGTACAAATAGTTGAAAATGGTTTTTTTGTCAATTACACATCACATGGAATCTGCAGTTTTTCAATCATCTAAGATTATAAGATTATTATTACTATACTAAAATTATTATACGATCTTTCAGAATAAATTTCACTTTTTCTGTGAAATGTACCACAATGATTCTGAACTATACAATAATTTTTATTCAATCCTTTTTTCGACACTGCAAATCGTAGTGTTTTAACTTTAAGACTTAAAGTGTTTTAAAATAATGTCACCCGTTTGATTAACATTTTAGTCACTTTTTAGATGGTTCAAAATGTCATAGCAGTCACTTTTTAGACACTTCCAAGCATCTAAAAAGTGACTACAATGTTAATCAAATGTTTGACGTCATTTTAAAATACTTTAAGTGTTTTAAATTAAAACACTTCCAAAATTCGAGATTTGCAGTGTACATAGTAAATTATCTTTTTAATAAAATAGACAAAAAATTGTAAAATTATTAAGAAACAAAAAAGCATTAAGTCTTCAAACCATATGAAAGTCCTAAGTAAGATATTTTACTTATTTTTTTCCATCAATTCGCCGTGAAAACAAAGATTTTAAAAGAAATTTCATTAAAATCGGATGATTTTTGGATTTTCCAGAGCCAAAGTTGCAAATCGAAGTGTTTACAAACTAAACACTTCAAATGTTTGCAATGTTAAACATCATAAACGAACTATAGCTATTTCATAGTCGACTTTCAAACGCTTTTTGTCGTTTACCAAAATGCCATAGTTTGTTTATGGTGTTCAACATTGTAAATACTTAGATGTTTAATTATTAAACACTTCAAGTGATATATCACACAACACTTAAATTTTTCCGAATCTTCATTAAAAAAACGAGGGGACCGCGATAGTATGAATTTACCAAAAATAATAATGAAGTAACTATTTTTAGTACAATAAAATAATTTATTTGATTTATTTCTATCTACAAATTTATTTATATTGTTTTCAGAGTCAATAATTTCTGAATCGTAAATTTGATATCAAATGATTTGTGCCAGCACCAATAGTTTCGATTTACTAGTATCGAATTAAATATAAAATATATAGCTGATGAAATGACTATTTTTATACCGTATAAAATGATATTGTCAGCTTATTTCTCCAAGATGATTTTAAGATAGCATTCGATGTTCATTGTAATAAAAGGAATAAATTTTCATGATAAATCAGAAAACATTTAGTGACTGCATCATTTCTCTGTAGTTCATTGACGAGGTAGATTTTGGGGTTGGACATCTGGACAATAAAAATAAATAGTAACGGTCTGTTTTTGTCATAATTTGAAAGTTAACAATTCTACGAGGGGTTACAATGACGATGGGATCCACTCAACGAGCAAAAAGGGGAGAGTCCGAAAAGTTTATTGACTCTTCTGAGTCTGTGTGCTAGTCATGGAGAATCTAAATTCTATTTTTCTTTCTTCCTTGGTGCAGTAAGTGTAAAAAAAATACTATTGTACTGTACGTTGCCCCTTCATGAATGAGTATCTTGAATATCAATAAAAAAAGTTTTTCGCAATGCAGAGGAAGTTGTTGGAATTCCACTGATAAGGTTTACTTCATGTATTCTTTTTTTTTTAGCTCTTTCCATTTCGGTACTATTCTCTAAAAACATTTTGTCCTTTTTTTTCACTTAAAAAATTTATTTCGCTTCGTGATAATACCACTCAAGTTTGAATAAAATGAATAAAAAGGAAGAAAAAATCGCATTTAACTACTTTGAATATAAGGAGGGAGAGAAGCGAAGGAAAAAATTGACGCCAGGTGTGGTAAATAAAGGAAAAAAAAAATTTTCGAAGACTCGAAGGCAAAAGAAAGGAGAGATTGAGAATTAAGGGTGAGACTAAGAATGACGAAAAACACGAAGAGAAGTCCCTTGAGAAATATTTTAATTGTAAAATGGTCGTCTGTCTTTCCAAGTATTGTCTCTGTCAGATTAACTTCAGTATTCAGAACTTGCCTTGACAAAGAAGGTTGTTTGGTCTTGGCGATTGCCCAGAAAAGCTTAGTTTAGTCATTTTTCTTTTTAAAACC